ACTGGAAGGACATCTTTTTTTTTTTACCCATCTTAGGCTTTTTCAAATTTTCACTGTAATGTGTCACAATTATCAACACACATCCCATATGTTTATTTTGCATATGCAATAGTAAAACTACTATCAAAAGTATACTTTGGAAAGTAAAGGATGGCCAATGAAAAAAAACTGCATAAAAGTATATCTTTTATATGCTGAATTTATATCAATTGCATTTCAATCTCTGAGAAATATGTCACATATTTTTCTTAACTCTAAGCACAGTTTTAATGCCATGCTTTTACAAAACCATGCTTTTACTGGCACTGAAAGTACCAGTAATGAGCTGCAAATATAGCTGAATTATGAAACTAATAAAAGGTGCCATATTCAAGAACAGCTGGAGCCAAGGTTTGAGTATCATAAGTGGCAATTGCTGCTGTACAACCCAGTCTCCTTAGTTAGCCCTTGGCTTATAAGACTACCCCAGTGTGTCTGCACCATAAACAAGAAAGAAGCATATATTTTGTAGGAGTTTCATGTGCTATGTTTCTGCTAATTTACTGTATATAAATATTTGGGCATTGTTATCAAAATCAGTCGTGCAGTTAGAGCTTCCCTTTCACTAATGTACTAAATAATAGAATGTGTTATGTAACAACTGTTCCCACAAATGCTCTCAAATGTGTCTGAGTGCACATTATATACAACCTCATGAAAAATTATCACATAACCTGTTACTTTTGAATAGCCTGTTAAGGACTGTTGACTAAGCTAGTGTCTCGTTTGTTGTAATAGCTGCTCAGGTTGTAAAATCAGGATGTATCTGTAATATCTAATGAAAATGTTTAAGGCAGCATGCAAGCAGACAGCTTAGACCAGCAAATGTTTACACCTGAAGTCTGCAGCTGCAGGGTAAAATCCGCATCATATTCAGATAAGTATAACTTTTCCACCTGAGGTACAAAATCTGACCCAGATATGTAGTTTTTGACTTCTGAAAATGCTTTTCAGCTCCTGACATTTTTGAGGAACGAAAAATTGATTTTTATTGAAAATGACAGTTTTAGGCTGCTGAGTAATATTCTTGTCATTTTTCTCTTCAGCCCAGATAAATCGCTCCTGAACTTTCTGGTGAAGTGACATAACGTAAGGAATGTGACAGCTGTAGGCCGTATGCTGGATATGTCTGCAAGTGGTGGTTCTTGAAGCTCTGAACTCCTGCTGCAGTCCATACATTTTGAAACTTCACCAAACTCTAAAAGGCTTTGCCTCAAAATCCTCACAAGGTTTCAATTATCCCTGTTGCTCATGCACCTTTTTTGATCTCAGTTTTTCTTTCCACTAAACTTTGCATTCCAATATTTTTGAATACAGCACTCTGTGGATGGGAACATCTTTGGCAGTGGCATTTTCTGGATTATCCTTACTGTATAATGTGTCAATAGTCATGACTGCCTAGCTATAGCATCACTGTAACATTACTTTTCATTTTATTTGTCTTAAGCAATGTTATTTTCTGATACAGTGAACTTTGGGTTTTTGTTAACTCTTAAGCCACAAAGATCGAAATTAACAAGAATAACAGTATAAAATATGTAACTCTGCTTATAATAAATTTACATGAGTTATATGAGTTTCATTTTTAAATTGAATTACTAAAATGAACTTCATATACAACTATAACTTATTGAGGCATGCTTGTAATTATCATCATACTATATATCAATTTAACTGCAGTAGTGAAGGAGAATAGCAGCTAACTGAAGCAACGTCTTCAGTTAAATAACAAAACGTTTTGTAGCATTTGTTGTCAAAAACAGTTAATATTAGATTTTACAATGTTGATCATTTTATTACCAATATCCATTACCTTTAGAAATTCCTTTTTATAGTGTGGACTGCTTTTGTTTCTTCGGGAATGCAAAAATGGAGGTGTTGAGTAAGCAGCTGAAGCTTTGGGTGGGTTTTCTGGTCATAAATAGAACATTTCTTTATGAAGAAACAGCTTTTAGAACACTCTGTTCTGAATCACTCCAGTATCCACCCATTGCTTTAAGCTCAATCCACCTGGTCGTCATTCCGTTTTGCTTCCAGATTAAATAAAAGCGTAAGTTTATGGGTAACTATAACCGAGCAGCACTAAAAGATGACAATTTTAGATTTTTTTTTTTTTTTTACCCGTCCTTCCTTTCTCTTCTGCCAGCTCTCTCTCCCTCCGCTCCCCGTGCGCGTCAGAGTTTGCGCAAGCAGCCTCTCCGCCTCTCCGTGTAGTATAGCGCAGCTCCGTCTCCCATTCACACCAGTTTACTACCAGACACACACTCGGTCGGAACGCGTTAAAAAAAAAAAAGGTGCTGTTCCTTTCCTTTCGCCACTTTGGATTAACACTGTGCTTTTTTCACCATGCTGGAAGTGGAAGGTAGGAAACTCAGCCGACGTTTTTGTTGCCATTTCAAGCCCGAAACTTATGTGTTAAAATCCGGATGATACAGTTTAATAGATGTTCTATTCCCCGATATTTGACCTTGACGAACAGCTTTACTAAAAGCGATTTTTTTTGTTGTTTTTTTTTGTTTTTTGGTATAAAATAAATCGGTGACATTAACGCTGTAGGCTAATATCGTTTAGTAATTGAAAGGAGGGCTTCGCTGCCTAACGCTGATGCTGAATTTCATCAATGAAGGAACCGCACCGACAACTCATCGTTTTAATTTATCCTCACACGTGTAAAATAATAAAAATATGAACGTTTGATTAATTTAATGGCGAAGCCATCAACCGATTGCTTCATGTCCTTTTAATGTGGAATAATTCACAAAGTTCTTAGGCATGAATTGGACTACAAAAATGTATCCTTGAAGATGCTTTTATTGTCCAATTCATGCTGAGGCTCAGGGAATCATCGAAAGAAAGCATTAACAAAAAAAGCTTGTGTGCTGCATCAAGGGATTGACTGTGAAAATCTATGCTGTCTACATTTAGCAATCTTCAGGCTTCAGATTAGTGGGAAAATAAGGTTCAGAAGTGTGGAAAAAGGTAAAACACGGAGCGCAGAGGGGGACTTGATAGCGACAAAGATTCATAAATACCTTTTAGTGATTTATTTATTTATTTATTTTACTTTATTTCCTGAATAACGCCTCAGTTCTTCAGGAACAGACCTATTTTAAACAGCAGACCTTTACTGCACAATAAATCGACTTTGTATAAAATTGCTTCAAACCGGTATCTACTCCAATTTATAGCATTTAGGGGTGTGACATTCAGATCCAGAGGTGATAAATTTGGTTGCCTTTTATTTGTTTTCACAAATAGAGAAGAAGGTCGACAAATCCAAAACTAATCAATGTAGAATAATTTTCTCAAATGTTCTGCCGTCTTCTGTGCCCAGTGTTTGTGATTCCCTAAATTGAGAAAGGTCAAGCATGAAGACTATAGCAATGCTTTCAGTAAAAGGAGAACAAATTCCAGTTGGAATGAGTTAAAATGGCTTGATTTTTCATGGCAACTCTAACAATGCTAATAATAAATCTGTGTTCCTTGTAGAATAATTTGCTTTAAGCATTTTATATTCTGAACTAAGTGATTAAATGCAATTGAGGGTCCATAAAAACAAACATATAAATAGAATGCAATTAGTATGCACAATGGTAGCAAATGCAAATTCTAGAATTTTCGATCAAACAACCCAAATTGGCAGAATCCGGCTGGCGTTGTCAACATCAAGACGGCCACTGCTTTTCACACTACAATACAGTAACGTTTTCTCAAATTTTGCTTTAAAGAATTGTGTTTAGGGTTGATTGGTCTGCCCAGACCTTCAAACCAACTGTGAGAGAGACCCTCAGTTAAGTGGTAATACTGTCAATAATCCTGAAGCAAATGCATACTTTTGCGTCTGTAAGAACTAACTTTAGCAGCTAATGGTTAGCTAGTTGCAATATTATTTTAGTGTTTAAAACTCAGCCAAATCTTCTCATTTGTCTTACTTACTATTACAGCAGTTAGACATGCAGTCTTTACTATTGCATCGTAATATTGTTGTTACCGTTGCTAACTGTAGCCGTTAATGATGGCCACTAAAGTTGACATTCATTTTAAAATTAAGGAGCCATTTCACAGTTTATTGATTTTATTTGATAATCAGTTTCAAACTCTAACATTCTTGTTTGTTCTAGTAGCCTGATTCTGATTAATATCTTTGGTTTGTATAACCTTCACTTTGCTGAAAACTAAAAGGGGGATATTTTCAATGCTTTTGATCTCATAAAAGTCTCACAGACAAGAAAAGAAAAACTGTAGCTACAGTCAGTGGCAGTGTTTGATTCAGGTAACTTATCTCACTGCCCAGAATGACTATATGCTTTAAGATTCCACTCTTTAAGATCCACACAAGGTGTGTGTAAATAATACTAGCGCAAAAAAAAGCATTGTAGCCCAGCAAATTTTAAATTCAGTCAGTGCTTTGTGATTGCAAAATTGCATGTTATTTTGTACTGACATGATGCATCTCCATGTGAAATTCTTAATGATGCCCTCAAGTTTATTTTGCCTGACTGCACGACTCAGGTGAAACGTTGATTAATATAATTTTCTTGTTTAACGAGATCCTGCCACAGGGAATTTTTTGTGCTGCGCTTCAGCTGGAAAAAGAGACTACTGAGGTCACACGTGCACTGAACAGGCAGTCCAAAATGAGGACAACCTTCGCTTACCTCCTGCCGTCAATGCAAATAGTTTGAGCGAAAGGGTTTGAGTCATGGCTAAAGAAAGATACCAAAACATAACATAAGTGAAAGAAGCGTAAAATGGATTTTAGTGTTTCCTTTTTCTGCTTCCTCACTCCTACTCCGTCTCATTCCTGTGCATGGATATGCTGAGGGCGGAAGCGTGGGCTGCTATAAATGTCCCTGAAAAACACCAGTCCGGTCTTAAATGTTTTTCTTTTCCAGTCTTTCCCTTTCTCATCTCTTGTGTGTTCCACTTTTCTCTCATTTTTTTTTTTTCTCCCCCTCCAGTGAACGGGACGCCGGCCAGTCAGCAGTCCACTCCTCATTCGGGGAAATCTCCCACCCCCTCCCCGACCAGCCCAGGCAGCCTCAGCCGACGCCAGGTAGGACTAGCTTACACAAGCAGATACACACACACACACACACATAACACACAATCACATAAGACTTCCACCCACAATCAGCCCACACATTTTAGAGACTTTTAAGTCTGTAACACACTCCTTTTATGTTCTCAGGAAAAGGACAAAGCTGTGACTGAGCATAGGCCAACTACATCTTAGAGTCACTTGAACAGGAAGAAACCAGCACATCCCAACACCTTTAGCATCTAAGATCAGGGTGGGGAGTGAAGCTTTGATCGCATCCAGTACTGCTCTGAGAAGCTCTGAAGGCATTTACGTTTGGACACGTGTTACTAGCCGGAAAAACACGTCCATCACATTTGCACATATGCTGACGCATTGCTCTTTGCTCCTCGCCGAGAATTCTATCTGCAAGTGTTAGCGCTGCATCGCACAGCGCCAGCCCTCGCTTCTAGTTATCTCTGGATTTATGAGTCAGCAGTTTGTCCAGCATCGGATCTAAAAATGACGAGGGCGGATCTTGTGTCGTTTTGTATGTGTACGCCCTCTGCAAAGGGTTTAGAAAACATTTTACAGTAGTAAGAGTTCATCAATTCAACTGTTTGTAAAGTTTCATTTTACTGATTAAAACATTTGTTGGAAACACTTTCTAAAGAGGATATGAGGTAGGATAGTAGTAGGATTGATGCACAAATTGAAGGTATAATGCAAAGAAAGAACATGCAACTCAATGGAAAAATGCTTAATTCAAAGACAAATTGTTCCTTCTGATTTCGTAGCCCCATGGTTGGGAGCTTATATTTTAACTTAAATTTGTCAAGATGAACGTTTTGGTACAACAGTGATAATGGTGAGCTTTTATTTTCTCCTTCGACAGAGCTACTGATTTCAGCAGTACAAATGAAGCTCATGTAGTTTTTCCCCAACCTTGTGGCTGAAGGGCCTTCCATTTTATTTTTTAAATGTAATTCAAAAATTTCCAGAAGAATTAAGTTTTTGGATTAGTTTCTGTCTTGACCAAAGCTCAGGAGACTCTTTTTTTGATTTATATTAACTCATTGCGATATTGCTCCTGCTCTGATAACTTTGCTTTAGTTTTTTCTTGTCTTTTCTTCCGTTTAGGCAAATTGAAATACTTTTTAGACTTTGTCAAGACAAACAATGCTACTCTTTTTTTTTTCTTCTGTTCTGCCATTTTTTCAGTAACATTGGCAACATAACAAGCCAATATAGCTGGCCAGTGAATGTGGCTTTCTGCTTGGCTTGTAGCTTGCACGCAGTATTTAATGTTACAAAGCAGCCCTTCTATATTAAGAGAGATAGTTGAGCATCCTCTAGTTTCCGTGCTGTGACTGTTTGCATTTTTCCACACCTCAAAGCTTTGAATACAATTTTTAATCAATGAACACTGGCTGCCATAACGGGATTGTTTCACCTTGACACCTCAAACACAGATAATTAGAAAAAAAAAAACAAAAAACAGAATATTTATTTAACTGTATGTTCACAAGGCACGGGGGCATATTAATTTAACATAACTTATTTGAAAAGTTTTGTTGGACTGTTTAAATAGAATGCCATTAACATAAAATATTTATATACCCAGAGATAAGTACTTACAGAGATGCCTGTGAATGTATTTGAGAAAACAAGGTCTAGAAGCTTCATAGGTTCTGTTTTGTGCAACATTTGACAAGCGATTTGTTAAAACAAGAAGGATCTATCAGTGGTACGGTTGTTTTTGTACGCCACAGCAGTTAGCCAGAGCTGTGGGAGCGGCTCAGATTTGGGTTGCAGCTACTGAGAACCAAACAGCAGAACTTACGCATTTGCCTGGAACTGGGTCGACATAAAAGAAACAGGCTGGCACGTGCATACATTAACCCACATTGCCAAACACACTCGGAGAATAAACAGGGAGAGCTGTCATGATTTAGACTACTGAAAATTTTAATTTCATATAGAAAAATATCTTTTCTTAACTGTGAACACATACACCAAAGTAAAAATTAAATTGAATTGCTTCAGACCGGAGTCAAACTTCAAATTGGTAAAGGTTGGAAGTTATTCAGCTTTAATTTTGGGTTTCTGGTGACTACACATGTGAATTACCATCTTATTACTCAGGAAAACAGCTTATTCTGAGATGTGATCGTAGCCTGAACTCATAATGAGAAAATGAAAGTAAAACACACTTTTTTTTTTGCACAGTTCACTGAAAACAGCAGTTAAATTCTTCTGAACATCACAAGCTGAGAGCCTATTTCATAAAGAGAGATTATTCTGGGTTTTGCAATTTCTAACACTTTACTCTGAGCCGGCAATAGCTTGACTAGAAGGAGGAGTGGAAGCCTCTTTCAGCCCATTATCTCCCCTCTCCACTCTGCAGCTTCACACTCTTCAGCAATATTATGTTATAATTCTCGCCCGTGCGCCTTACTTTCCTGTGCTCCGTGGTAGAGATTCCTTCTCTCCCCTGTGCCAGTTTCAGCTGCAGCCATTTCTACTCACTCACAGTGAGTGAGCGAGAATGAGTCCCAGGCCTGCAGTCATTTGAAAGGGTGAAATTGTATCCCCTCTTTCTCCTGTGGATAGCTTCCACAGGAGAAATGATAGAAGCAGGCACCAGGTTCAACAAATCACGTACATCTGTACTCTCTCCTTACAGCTGTCATTTCTGATCTGCAATTTTTGTAAATAGATGCCCTCTTCAGCTGATTTCTGATTTTTCTTTGAGTAGTAATGTAGGGCAATATTTTACTGAAGTAAAAAGTCAAGATTTTACCAATATTGTGAAACAAAAGTTATATTATTGATCACCATGGTTAGCATAGCTAGCAGTGCAGCAATTTCCATGAGTATTCCTAAAGAATGTTAGATCCTTTAGCTTTCGACAACACTGCTAATATCTCTAAATCCAGTGTGTTGCATGACAGATGGAGGTTGAGAACTCTTAAGGTAAAATGGCGCAACTTTGCTGTGGTCCTTTTGGCCTTTCTGTTACCCGATGAAAATCTTGTTCTATCCAAAGAATCGTTGAACCTCAAAACATACCTTAACATGTCTAAGAAACATATATTTTTTTTTTATAGATTTCCAAAGAGAATTCTAGATGCAGCCATATTGTTTCAGTCCTCCGGTTCACTTTAACATGTCACCTTGGTGGAATCAGCTCTCAGAATTAGGCTGCCTACATTCCTCTGTTCAGTGCAACCTGTTTTCCTCAAGGAGAATAAACTGACATAGTAGCTTTTATCTTTTAAATTTCATGCATGCAAAACTGTATTTACAAAGACACGCATAAATCCTCCAGGAATCCGAGCAGACATTCACGCACGCTTCAGAAGAAACACTTATGCATAAAATCATCATTTGTGCTCTGGTGGCAGATGAGCACGATGCACTTGCTGTCTGATTTACACATTCTGTGCACAACGTGACCTATTTTTGTAAACTGGCAGCCAAGGCTTATAAAAGTGGTTTGCATTCACAAAGTCACCCACCTCCTCCCTTCGCTCCCTCCTTTCCGTTCAAACTTCTCATTGTCCCTTCAAGGCCGCTCGCTTCTCAAACAGCAGTCGACTTCTCTTTCATATTTTCCTTTTGAATGTGCCGACACGTTCAGCCACACAGGCTCCCTCACCAGGCTTTGCGTTCTGAGGCGGCTGTAGATGAATGAAAGAAACCGGCGAGGTCACGGCTCTGTGAAAAATACAAAGGGGAGAAATAAATCATTAAGCGAAAAAACAAAACATGATGGCGACACCTTGGAGGTGAGAGAAACAAACCTGCGACAGTCGGGCGGTTTGGATGAGCTGACTCTCATCCATATGATGTCACATATACCATCTTTTCACTCTTAGGTGTCTTCCTCAAGTGTTCATTAGGCGAGTATTTTAGACAATCATATCCAATTTCCATTGAGTTGCATGCTCTGTCCCTCATCCATATCACTCATTTCTTGTATTGGGTGATTTATCGTTAATTTATTTGTGTGTTTGTGTGAGAAAGAAAGAAACTGTGAGATGAAGAAGAAATTATCCATTAAACCTTGTAACATTGTCTTATTCATCCATATGTCTGTTTTTTGTTTTATTTTTTCCCTTGTATTGTACTGTATTTCCTGTTACTTTTTGTGTTTTATTTCATTAAGTAGTCTGTTTTTTCTTAATGTGACTGGCTGCACCACATTAGTCTCTCATTAGTTTCTAAACCTGTAGATTTGAAAGTTTTATTAACAAAAATAAGTTATTTAAATGATTTTAAAATGTGTAATACTCAATGCTCCTTAATATAACTCTTTTGCAAAGAGATGCAGAACATTTTCATGCATACTTTTTTCTGAGATAAATCACATTCATGATATGGTGACTGTCATGTGAGGCTGCCAGCTCTTCTTGGCTCATTTGTTCCCATTTTGTGTTTCCTTTTTTTCTGAATGTATTCATTTTCATTTGTTTGAGTCATTAAATTTGCCGTTTCATTTTCATTTTGTGGTCTTTCTTCGTGTGCTCCTTATGTTTCTTATTTTTATGTATGATTGCAATTAACTTTTCATAAGCGGCCCAACTGAGCCGAATAGCTCTGCATTAATAACTAGAAGCCCAGAGCAGCTGCTATCCACTCTGTTTGGACACATTTCTCTTCATCTATGCATTTTTGGTATATAAAGAGATACAATTATTACAGCTTCCTCCATTTAGTAACAAGTCTGGTGAAAATGTGTAGCATCATTAGAATTGCTTTTTCAGTGGGCTGGAAAAACAACAAATAATGTTTTATAGTTTGGTTCCCATAACAGTTCACATGAACTAGAGTGCAAGTATATGAAGATTTTTCATCTAAATTCCTACTTTATGTTTTTGTTGTTCAGGCTTTCTAAAATGTTTTATATAAAATCCATGACTTCCTGGTTGCTTGGACTGTAAGTATAAATAACAAAGAGGTCTGTTTTTGTTAGTCACTACATGTGAAAATAAGCCTTCAAACATGAAAAATGAAAAGAATCAATCATCTCTACTTTCATGCACTGACTAATGCACTGAAATACACAATTGGACATTTTAAATGCCTTACTTACAGTTTACTGGGCTGATTTTAATTTTAATACTTTAGAAAGCGCACCTGAGGTCCTCTAAGTTTCTTTTAAAAATTTGTCTTGGGTGTATTAAATTAAGTCTTTGCAAATGAAGTTCAAAATCCCGATAAGATCCCATCACTTTGTCTGAGTGGCAGAGCAGAAAAAACGGCAGTCTGTCTGTCTAGACAACAAGTCCAGTAATCTAATCTGTCTTGTTTGCTTTTTAAACCCAGAGAGTCATGCAGGGACAAAACCAACTCTTCAGTTTCCATTAAATCATATTACATTTTTCCACCAAAAACAAACAGCGTTAAGTCCTTCATCTAATATTGTCTGGCACTGAAAGTGACAAAGAGGCTGCAGGGGAAAAAAAAAAAAAAAAGAGCCTCGATTCTTTGAGGCCAGAGAGACAGAGAGCAGGAAGGCTTCGGGATGTGTCTCCTAATCAGATTCAGACAGCAGCACAGAGGACAAAGCTGGAAATATCTCCAAGTTGGTTATGTAAATGTGCACTGCATTTTTAATCTGCAGCTCTACAGCTGGCAGCCTTTCCTTACCACCACAGAACCGATCATTATTTCTGCCTCAACACATCTGCTTCTGCGATTATGCTTCCCATTTAAAGTCAGCCTCCCCTAATTCTCTTTTATCCACTGACCAGTTTTCAGCTGCCGAGCGCTCCCATTGCAGATTTGGAGAGAAGTATGTCCAAAAAAAATTGTGTGAAAGGTGTTTTGCCAAGTGTGTTTTTTAGCAGAGTGACTCAGTTCAAACAAGAGTGCCGAGCTCTGGAGTCAGAAATAACAAAATGAGCCAGCAGGGAGAACGCTGGGCTTTATGATATAATCATGATTAACATCACCCAGAACAGACTCCTCATCCGTTCTCTCTCACTCTGTCTGTCGCTCCATCTGTCTCACCGGCATCCTCACAGAAAATACAGACAGCGTTTTCATCGAAGGTTGAGCTCACCTCCCAGTCTGCAGACAGGAAATGGCCATATATAGGCTTTCTGTCTCCTCGCTGGAAGTTTCATAAGCTGCTGCTCTCCTCTCTCTGTGAGCAGTCTCCATAGCAACAGTATTTTGTTTCCCTCTGTGGCAGGAAGCAAGAGAGAGAGGGGTAGAGATAGGAGTTTGAAATGAGACGGCCAGCGTAGATGTACGATTAGGGCACAACAACAGAAATGGACATACGGAGGAGGAAAAATACAAGAGCAGAAAGAGGAGATGAAAAGCACCGCAGGGCCGTCGGGTATTAAGTGGGTTTTCTTGCTCTGGGAATGAGTGCCCGACCAAACACAAACATTATATAAATCTGACTTTAGTCTGACTCATGGCTACATTCAGATAGGTGTTTTTCAGGTCACAGCAACAGAGATGAGTAAATGCACCGACAGCAACTCAGGCGAAGAATTAGGGCAGATCACTTCTGTAAATAGGTTCTGAACAAAAGTCGTTAAAGTTCAATAAAACGTCCTTTTCCGTTTCTGTAACGACAGTGAAAATCCTCACAATGTGCAAGTGTCAGTCATCTTTTTTCACTAGAAAATTTGTAAAGTTCTGACACAGAAAAGGGTTTGTGGTCCTCGGCAGCACAATGGGCAGCATAACGTATTCGATTGCCCTTTAGGAGATTTTTTATCGATTGAGCAAAACTATTTTTCTGCAACTGACTTTTTGTCTCTTCATTTGAAAAATAAAGGTATATATTTACATATATATAAAAGAAATACCAATGACGTTTTCATAGTTTATTTCAATGGATGGCATGTCTATTATAGACTTAAAATGTCATAAAGAAGTCATGCAAAAACTAAAGAGGTGTATCTGAATCACACACACACGCACACACATGCACACAGTGATAGTTTCTGACATGAGATAATGGCAGTTACCCAGGGCAGTTTTAAAAAAAGTTGGGCGCAAAGCGTCATACCCTACCTTGCCTCCATTTTGGGGACATTGTCTTGTTTTTCCCAGTCCTTGATGGGACGGACATTTCACTTGTTTTGTAGCAGAGATTTTCAAAATCCTAACCTAATGCTGCCAATTCAAAGATAAATTTCAAATCTTGTTCTTCATTCTGATTGGATTATTAGGAACCAATCAATGAAAGCAGTTGTTTAAATGCTAACACCTTTTTTTTCACTGGACATACAAAGTAATGTGGCACTAACATTTATCATTCTAAAATAATGTTTTCCTACAAACTTGGAAGCCAATTTGTTTTTCACCTCATACCATTTGAAATCCTTTGTGAAGTGTATGGAAGCAGCAGTTCTGTTGCTTCCATAAAAGGACGTTACATGTCAGAGGAAATCCTGACATTTTTATCTTTAGAGAACGGCAGATTGCTCACATTAGACCTTCTAACTTGTGGAACCTGCTGTTATTAGTTTTGTGTGAGCAAGCAGCAGTGATGAACAGAGGCATCCATGATTGAAGCAGCTTCAATCATGCATCATGTGTTTTATGGAATAAAATCACTTTAAAGTGAATTTCTCTCCCTCTTTGCAGGGGTCACTGGGTTCCTCCACCTCTGTGTCTTCCGCCCAGGTTTCCAGCCCAGCGGAAGACAGCAATGACATCAATCCTGAAGGTGAGGATCATTTATGTTGGAAAATTGTTTCATTTATTAGTAATTAAGGAAAAGCTTGACTCGTTCAAATGTCAAACTTGAATGAGTCAGTTTTTGTGACCTTTGATGCCTCTTTTTGTACCTTCTTTATGCTTCTCTGATTTGTACATTCTGTTCTCAACATGGTTTCTCACCACTTCTTCCCTCCTTTGGTGCTTTACTGTAAAATATTGATGCCGTTTTATATTGTGTAAAAAGGTTATTCAGTTATAAGCTTCAATATCTGGAGAGAAAAAAAAAATACTGATCTGGAGAAAAGGGTGAACATGTTCTAAATTAACATGACATCTTAATATTTTTTTTTTATTTTTTTTTTTACTCAGAGCTCTGCAGACCATTTTCATAAAGTGGTACATATTTTTTAGTCTGTAAGCAGATTTGAACCTTTTGTGTCCCGCGCCTGCAGCTGAGATTCTCCAGGACGAAGTTCCTGCTGTGCCGTCCTACATATCGGACCGCTACAGGGTGGGCCGGATGCTGGGTGACGGGAACTTTGCAGTTGTGCGCGAATGCGTGGAGCTCTCTACAGGAAGGGAGTACGCTCTGAAGATCATCAACAAGGGCAAATGCAGAGGCAAGGTAAACAAATGTCTGAAAGCAACTTTTGAATTTAAACTGTGTCCAGTCAAGGAGAGAAACTGTAATGTCTGTGTAATGGAAAAGAAGTTTTCATAAAGAGCATCATGCATGGACTGTGATTTAAACTAATATTGTTCAGCTTCAAACATGCTTTTGCTTAGCCTGTTTGGTTAAATAAATCTACTTTTATTAATTCAAACATCTCACTTAGTTGTTCTTCTGTTTGCTCTAAGGAACACATGATTCAGAATGAGGTGGCCATCCTCCGCAGGGTCAAGCACCCAAATATTGTTTTACTCATTGAGGAAGTGGACACTTATAATGAGCTTTACCTGGTCATGGAACTGGTCAAGGTATGTTTATTTCATATTGACTAAAGTCTATACAGTGTCTTTAAATTTTTTCATATTTTGACACATAAGCCTCAAACCTAAGTGGAAATAATTAGGATATCTGTGTGATAGGTCAATACAGAGTAGGGCAAAATTGTGAAGCGCAAAGGTTTAGTTTTAACTAATTATTATTTGTCCACCTCTCTCCTTTAGTTTTGTGCTTTCAGGCTAATGTTGCAAAGAAATCGTCCTTAATGTTTTGCCTGGTGAAATAATGGTTTACCTAACTAACCAATTAAAAATCTGAAAAGTGTGGCATGCATTTTGTGTACATCTCTACCAACTTTGCACGTCCAGAAAAAATGTTTTCTTTTCTGACTCATCTTTTCAAAATAGCCAAATCTCAGTTTGTCTGGATGAAGAGCATTAGTAATTTTCTCACCTTGCCACATCTCTTAAATTAGATTTTGGTTTGGCCTTTGACTGGGACATTGTAGTACTGAAACATGCTGTAAACAATTCCATTGTATCTCTAGCTGTAGGTTAGATTTAGATGTAGATGTAGGTTTTCCTCCTTGAAGGCGAACCTCCATATTCCAGCCTTTAAAACATTTTCTTCCGGGGTTGTTCTGTATTTAACTCCATCCATAAAGGACTTGTGACAAACTGCAAACAGCACCTCTTTTGGTCTTTTCCTTTTCCAAAAAGGGCTTTCTTTCTACCAGTCTTCAACAAATCCTGAAGTTCAGCTGTCTTGTCAACAGATTCATGGCCATTTGCTCTGCTTAGGGATACGTTACCAAACCGAGTTTTCAGTGCATATTCTATTGCACATGATGCTGATCCACATCTTGAGCGGAGCAGCTGAGATGACGACAGAGACAGAGGCGTAGCAATCAAGCAGCGCAACGAATGACGAAGTCACGCAGCATGAGATGGAGAGAATCTCTCCTTGGCTCCAGGCGCTCTTGTGCTCGCATCCTTCATTCTCTCTCCTGCTTCATGAGTCGAGAAATGTTTGTGCATAATTCAGGAGCCAGGAATGCGATCCATCTGTTCGTTCTGTTGTATGGAGTACTACAGGATATAGACGTGAGCCAGTCTGTGGGAGAAATGTGCGCACTTGTTACCATGTCCAAAAGAGGGAGGAGGATGAAGAGGAGGCTGGGGATGAATGAGGTGGAACATAGTCACTGCCAGAGCGAGAGAGACAAATAATGCAGAATAAGATGATAGTAATCACATATTTTCTTCTGGGTTCTTTTGTTGGCTTCTGATTTGGGTTTGTTACTTTAATTTGAACTAAGGGAGCAGTCAGAAAACAATTTGAGATGATATCGGGAGGGATGTTACCAAATTAAACCCTTGGAGAATTTATGCTTTTTTTTTGTAAAAGCATGATGTCATTTTGACTGAGGAGTGATGCAAAATAATCTATTTGGGGAAAAAAATATGCTATGAATGCATTGTTGTTAGTCAGAGTTTTATTGATTATAAAAATTAACATCAGCCAGTGTAAGACAGGAGGTTATCTAGACCCTGGGTTCCTTTTAGACTGACTAATAATGAAACAAAGTAATCAGAAGTTATGTTTGAAATTCTCCACAGCTCATATAAGGCATAGAGTAAACATGTGAAAGAATGTACAAATTCACTAAAACTATGTATGGAGGACAGGCCCTGAACACCCATTGTTAGACATGGTGGTGGCAGCACCATCCTGTGGGAATCCTTTGCAATAAATTATGCTAGAAAATCCTGGGAAGTTGCAAAAAACTTGACACTGAAATGGAGGTACTCCTTCCAACAGGACAACACCATAAACTAGCAGAGGCACATAGAAATACATGCCAGACTTTTCAGATTTTATATTTGTCAAAAACAAGAAAATAATTAAAACCAATTATCCATTTTCTCCCACTTCATATCTATCCACTACTTCCTATTTGTAATGTCCTGTGCCCACTGCAGTTGAGCAGGGTTTCTTTTCTAGCTCTCATTTAAACAATTGTCAGTCCGGAGGTCAAACCCAGACAGCGAGTCTGGCATTTTCTTGTGCTACTTTGTCCAAAGCTTCAGAGAGTCTGAGAAAGTGCTAGATGACAGAAAACCGGAGTCCTATTTTAGTCCTCTGCTCCATTTAGCTCAGTTGGAGAGACAGTCTCAGAGAGCATGGGAGAAGAGAAGAGGCTGAGCTCTAGAAAGGCGAAAAATATGACGATCTGAAACCTGAGAGAAACGGTTAAAGGAATCAACAGACGTAATTGCAGGAAATGCAAATTACAGACGTGAATGAAAAGTTTCAAACAAGCTCAGAAATGGGGTCATACATCACCCCTTTCAACCGCTGATCAGACAAAACATGCACTGTTCAATGAATAAAACTATTTCCTGCAGAAAGGACTAAGCGACTCAGTCAGAAAGATTGAATCTGAAAATGCCAGTGCAGTTTCCCCAAAACAGTACGGTTCCAGTCCTAATAACTCACATGACTTGTCTGCAGGGGGGAGATCTGTTCGACGCCATCACCTCTGCCAACAGATACACGGAGAGGGATGCCAGTGGGATGCTCTACAATCTGGCCAACGCCATCAAATACCTCCACAGCCTCAACATCGTGCACAGAGACATCAAACCAGAAAACCTGCTGGTGAGTTAACACATGTACAGTAACTTGGTGATTTGTGGTGTCCTGCGTCTTCGCTTGGTCCCTGAAGGATGTAGCATGTCCAGTATTGCTCTGCCTGTTCTATTCGCAATACAAAGTCATTATTTTGGCAAAAGTTTCTTAAACTAGCTTTCATATTAAATTTTGAGACTGGATGTATTCAGGTGATAGAAGTCTACTTTGGTCTTTAATCCTTAAAGGACAGCATCTTAGTATTTACAGCAGATAATATATATTAACTGCTTATTACCCTTTCATAGAACTTCATTTTTCCTACTGCACCGTGTTACACTCTGTGGAGCTGTCTAAAACCAAACCTCTAGTCAGACCGACTGTTCTTTATGTGAATTTGTAGGTGTATGAACACGCAGATGGCAGCAAAAGTCTGAAACTGGGAGACTTTGGTTTGGCGACGGTGGTGGACGGACCCCTCTACACGGTCTGCGGGACGCCAACATATGTAGCACCTGAAATTATTGCAGAGACAGGGTAAGAGTCCTAGTTCAGATCAGATGTGAGGATGGCTGCAGAGCCAAATGAAATCCTGTCTTCTCAGCAGATCAGCAGTATTTCTCATTCTAATTATTTCTTTATCTTTGAATAGGTACGGCCTTAAGGTGGACATCTGGGCAGCTGGAGTCATCACCTACATCCTACTGTGTGGTTTCCCACCTTTTCGAGGGTAAGCTTATAGTTACCTACAAACAGAAGTTTTTTTATTGCATCAGGGTTCCAATAAGTAGCTTTGATTGACAGAAACTTGAAATAATCTCTTGTGCTGAAGTTTAATTGGAGTTGTTTGAATTTTTTGTTCTTTGAACAGGGACTTTATACAAAACCTTAAATGAGCTTTTAAATGTTTCTTTTCAAGGGTTATTGTTTTGCAAGCACTTATTTCCACCACTCGATGTCTCTATGCTACACCTGAAAATCGTACTTTAGCTGTGACATAGCTCTTTCAGAGAACTACTTCATTCATATCTGATTTCTATTATGAACATTTTTGCAGGAGCAGTGAGGATCAAGAAGCCCTTTTTGATCAGATACTGATGGGGCAGCTTGAATTTCCTCTTCCGTACTGGGACAACGTGTCAGAGACAGCGAAGGTGAGCAATCCCCTGAATGCATCGTAATTGTGAAGAAGATGATGTGCTACCACAGGAACAAGCTCACCCTCCGCTGCTTGTTTCTGCAGGATCTGATCCGGTCCATGCTGGAGGTGGAGGTGGACCAGAGATACACTGCCCTGCAGGTGCTGGAGCATCCTTGGGTTACTGTAAGTAGAGCATCTGTGAGTTGGTGGGACTGTCTTTCCTTCAGAAACGCTGACTTGCTAATCTTCTGCTCAATGTAGAATGAGGGTCTGTGTGAAAACGAACACCAGCTGTCTGTAGCGGGAAAGATAAAGAAGCACTTCAACACCGGGCTCAAGGTCAACGACACCAACGCGGGGGTGTCAGTCATTTCTGTGAGTAATCAACTGCAGACCCCGATATTCCACTGCTTTGACAGCTATCGCACACAATTAAAATGTTTTACACCAAAGTAAAATTTTTTGTTCTTTTGTTCACGTAGCTCCAACACTTTAGACAGTTCCAGCTTTCTGAGTGAAGTTTTCTCACGTGTGCTGGTGTTTGGTTTCTCTTTGTGTTCAGCTGGATGACAGCTTTTCTATGCAGCGATCTGGGTCGTTGGATTTCTACCAGCACCCGGCTATGTACTGGATAAGGTACGCCAGGTTTCCATGGAGATGTGAAAAATGCCACAAAGTGGTCAGAATTCAAAACAAGCTAAAATAGTGTCTGTGAAATTGATGGCCCCAGTCCCATCCATCGCTGAGTGCTCCCCCGCTGGTTGGCTGCTACTGCTGTGCTGCTATTTCAGCATGATTTGTTGTTCGTACTCGGCTTTTTGCTTCTTCCCTTTCATCCTTCCCTCGGTCTGAACACACATTTCACACCTGCTTAACCTGCACTGTCCTGTGTTGTGTTCATTTATTTGTGTTGCCTGGAACAAAGCTGCATCTTTGATGGAAAACGTCAAAAATGAGTGGCACAGTGATTTCTTCAGAGAATGTTTTTTTGTGAATCCTGCCTCTTCAAACAAATGCTGTTGTTCTCTGTTTGCGTGGTTCCTGTGGTTTCACTCTTGCGTGCATGAATATATTGATCGTTTTTGATGTGTGTTGCTTTCCAACCCAGCTCACTCTTTTAAGAACTGGTTTCTGTTGCCCGGCCCACCCACTGACATATGAACAACCTTGAGAGTCGCAGCTTTTTGAGACACCAGTGGCAAGAGGAATTGACAACACACATGAACAAATTAACAACAAAATTAGCAGTTTGATGAACCATTGTGTCTGATTTCTAGTTACTTTGGTGTATATTTGAGTTCATAATGATGAATCTTATGAACGAGTTTTATGGAAATTAAAGGACTGATGCAGGATTCTTATGATATCTGGAAAAGCATATTTATTTAAGTATTTTCCAGATCTGAATATCGGTCTGTCCAGCAATACCTCTCTCCATGCCTCCTCCTTCAATTCTCTGGTTATATGCAAAGCCTTACAACTGTAGCAATCATTGTGAATTACTGAATTTACTTTTTTTTTTACCTACCTATAAAACGAATGAGAACTTAGAAAATTTGATCCTGTAAATGTATGGAATCATGACAGAACTGTGTAGGAACCCTGCTAAAGCTTTGGAGAAATCAAAAACCTTATGCAGACTATTTAACTTGGTAATTCCTCTTGTCACTGCCCACCTAACCACAAATCATTTCCTGACCAGCATGTGCAAAACTTGTCTGTCCCCCTTACAGTGGTACACATGATGGATCTGATCAGGATGTTCTACTGTGTTTGTCTCTGACAGGCCACCCCTCTTGATAAGGAGGGGCAGGTTCTCAGACGAGGACGCCACCCGAATGTGAAGCCGTTGCCTTTGCAGATGATCCAGACTGTGAACGCAGAAATGACAGCGAGGGCACTCCGGCCGGAGCCTCCCAGTTGCCTCCCCGGCTTGCCCGCAGACCCTCCCTGTCCGACCCCTGACTCTTGCTCCGACCCCTCCTCGGATCCAAGCCCCCTGTCGGACTCAGATGATGTCTCCATCAGCTCGGTCAGCACCGTCTGCTCCCCCAGCTCACCCTTCTAGCGATTAGACGGAGGGGGAGGAGGAGGAGAAGCAAGGAGGAAATCCTCGTCCAGCTCCTCCTGTATAGAGGAGAAGGAAGAGGAGGAAAAGGAGGTGATCCCCCCACACCTGACTGTGGGGTCATTGCAGATAACTGTGGAGAAAAGACAATTAAGAGAGAATTTTTAAAACCCCCTGAATCCATCTATCCAATTCAAGAGGAGAGATTGATGGAGGGGTGGAAGTGGAAAGATGGACTTCCTTTTGTTTCTTTTGAACATTTTCTCATCTGAGCACATGTCGAGCTCAAGGAGCAAGAAAGGGCGTGAATTGTTTGCCTTTCGGTGATGATCCGGGCCAAACATGGAAACTTCCTCACTTCTGGAACCGCTCAATATGGCAATATGAGAACACTGACCAATGTTCATGTTTTATTGAACCTTATTTAATCGTGATTTATTTACTAAATTTTTTTATACGCATTGCTCTTTTTCATAGAGGAAAAAAAAAAAGTTGTTGTCCTAAAGAGCATAGTGGAATAAAAATGAAGGAGACATATGTAGAAATAGAACTGGGACATGTTAAAGTAGGCTGGGGTAGACTTGGTCAACGCTGGAATCAAAGCTACGAGAAGCAGAAATTTGTGAAGATGTTCAGAGACTCGTGCTACAGCTCTGCTCCGCTCGAGCTTCGCCTAATACAGGGTTTACATGTTACAAAGATGATAATGGTGCATCTTCTCTCTTCTTTATACCTGCTATGGTCACAACATCTTAAACCAGAAGATACAGCAGCATCCAAATGCTTGTAGCAGACATCTGAACCACCTTTTCTGAACACACTCACGTTGCGCTGACACTTCATTGATCTTTATTTTCAACCAACGCCGCCGTTGTAATCCATTAACATTAAGCTGCATCTCGGCAAATTAGAAAACAATTGAAAAGTTCATTTATTTCGTCAACTTGATTCAAACTGTGAAACTTATGTTTACATGACTTATAACACAAATGAAAACTTCAGTTGTGTATTTTAATATTACATGAAACCCATAAACAATTTTTGTTTAACAGCTTACTCAGAATATCCATGTAGCTATTTTACAAAGTATTAATTCAGTGCTTGGTCAGAGGCTCCTTTTGCATGAACTACTAGATCAGTGGAGCGTGTAATGGAGGAGGTCAGCCTGTGGCTCTGCTGAGATATTCAGGAAACACAGGTTGATGTAGTAGTGGCCTTCAGCTCACCTGCATTGTTGGAAATAGTGTTTCTCATCTTCCTTTTGATAATATCTCATCAATTCTCTTTCACGTTTAAGTCAGGCGAGTTTTCTGACCAAGTTTGGTGTCGTCATGCTCAGTAAACATGGTACTGGAAATCTAGGCAGCATGGATAAGTACCAGCTCCTGCTTATAACAGACATCAGCATCTTCAGCAGAAGGAAGGGAAAATTCTTGAATGGACTTTGTTTCAAAATCATCTTAAGATTCCCCATACACTTTTTTCCTCCACTCAATTTTCCATCTGTATTCTTGTATACAGCACTGTGTCTAAAGCCAGCTTTCACTCAGTGCTGGTTTTTGTGTCAATGTTGGTCGGCTGGACAATTATCAAGTCAGTACTGCCATATAATTGTGTGGACTCTCATAAAATAACATTTCCTTTTTAACATTTTTTTTTATTTGTCTTATGTGATAATCTGGTTTTCCAAACAACAGGATTTGAGTTTTTCATTAGGTGTAATGATCAACAATCAATTATTAATATTAACAGAAATAAACTATTTAAACATATTCCTCAATTTATTGTATATTTTCAGTTCTTGAATTTATTTAACGACATAAATTAACTTTTTTTCTGATTTACTGAGATGCACCTTTATGCCAACATTTAAGAACGGTATGATTGTTGTGGTCCAAATGCTTCTTAAATGTGTACTGATGGGTATGAAGGGGTGCCTATTTACACAAACGTTTTGCAGTCTTTTTACAGTTAAAGATGACAGAAACACTGGCAGGACGGATGAAAACCAGCAGCACTCGTGCAAAGCAGTTACAAGATGGAGGAGGACTTGTTTAAGCTCTGTAAACCTCATTCATGACTTCATTTATTTAGATGAAAGCATGACAGACATACAGTAGCCTATTCTTATAATAAAAAATGTTTAGTGTTCAAGTATTGTTTATATGTTATGTAAATAACAGTTTTATTTATTTTGATAGTTCACAATACAGTATATTTCTTTACTAGTAGTAAATATATGACAATTGTAAAAAACTAAAAAAGAAACTAAAAAAAAAATGAAACAAAAAGAATCATGCCTGACAGTCAATAGGCAAAAAAAAAGAAAAAAAAAAAGAAATATGAATTCAATCATCTGATCAAAATGGAGAAAAAAAAACTACAGTTGAAATGAATAGTATCATTTTTACCTGATGTTGTTTCACCTAGATAAATCCACACAGTCAAATATACATTTGTGGGGGAAAAATAGAAACCATCAATTTTGCTTCGTTATCAGTTCTGACAAAGATGCCACTCTATGTGCAAAATCAGACAGTAATTTTGATTTTCAGTTACTAATGTGAAGGGAGAAATGCAGAACTGCACTTGTTTTTTTTAGAGAGAGATTTTAAAGCAGTTGTATCATTTGCCTTTCTTTCTGCATTTCTTCCTATCATGACATTTACACAGTAATGTGCTGCAGTGTGAATATGTTGTGCTGATGAAACCCACACTCTCTGGTACACGGTTAACCAAAGTGCTCTCACTGCTGCTCTACTGCATTCAGCCTTTCCTGAATACTGATACCTGTACCTCTCTTCATCAATGGTCTGTCAATAATCAAAAGTAATAATTAAAACACCTTTAAAAACTATATTGTTTGTGTTTATTTTTCGGGATTTTATTTAGGGGATTCAAGGGTTACTGTTGCTTAGTTGAATAATTACCATCACACAGATTTGCTCTGACTGAATCTTTTCAATAAACATGATGTAAGTCACCTTAATATTTGTCCAAGTCTGTTTTCCAAGCATTTTTGCCAAGCCGTAGAAGACTAAGAAGTACATTCATTTGAGGAGATGACGTGAAAGTGGAAATTAAAGAGAGGTAGAACAAGTATTAAATACTTTTTCGTATTGTTTAGAGAATTAGAATAGCCAACACTCTTATATGTAGCTCTCGTTTGAGCCAAAAGGCGTCGCTGTTGTCAGACACAAACACAATGCCAGAGAAGAAGAATATCATTGAGGAAGTGTAGCTTTCGGCTATGTGCAATTATGTACACTTGTTTTACGAATTTAATGCATGTTTTATGACAAAAATATGTACTATTAACTTGTAGCTGCGCGTTTCGTATGTGAATACGTATCAAAGTGAGGCTGTTGTAGAGAACCGGCGATTAGCATTGCGTTCACTGCCATAACTATGAGCAACAAGGACAGTTCTTCATCCGCTGCAAATAAAGACAAGGACTCCACTCTTCTGCTCACTAAAGACGGCCAGCGGTATTTCGTAAGTAAAAGCGGAGCTGTGGACAGCAGAAACGTGACAACGCCGCATGAATCGGAGAACAACGTGTCCTCTTTCAGCGTGGACGATCCGGACGAAGAGAGCGACGTGCTGGATGCGTCTGATCCCAGAGAAGGCGCAGCCAGCCCGGAGGAGCTCAATGAAGAGGGGACCTCGGAGGGCGACAACGCCCCCAAACAGTGCACCTACGAGGGCTGCACGGAGACCACCACACAGGTGGCCAAGCAGAGGAAGCCGTGGATGTGCAAAAAACATCGCAACAAGATGTATAAGGATAAATATAAGAAGAAGAAGAGCGACCAGGCTATGTCCAGCGGGAAGCTTGATGTAAGGAAAACAGTTTTTAAACCTACAGGGTCGTTGTAAAAATTGCAAATCATTTAATGGGATTGCGGGTGTTTTTCTCTGCTTTCTACACTCCAATGTAACATAACTGCTCTTTTTGTGGGGATGACCAGGAAAACTCTGAGGAGCGACCAGTGTCTGTGAACAAACAGCGCCTGGGAGCCATGGGGGACCGTCCAGCCAGACCCTCCCTTATAGAGCAAGTCCTCAACCAGAAAAGACTGGTGAGTCGTTGACCTGTTTCTGCTCCCATGTGCTGAAGCATACTGTATTCTTCTCTAAACTTGCAGAATACTTTCTGCAATGTACAGGTTACTCTTCCAGAACAAATACCTACTTAAAGCTTGCTCATCTTTATTTTTTACCATAAACTCTGAGAAAGTAAATTGCAGAGATCACTTTTCAGGATTTGAAAGATGAGTCTTTTTATTTTTCTTTTGGAACTTTCAGGTTTTTCTTAATGCTACAGGCTTCTTTAGTTTACTTTTCTGAAACTTTCCTGGAACGTTCCAGAATTTAGATGTTTCTTTCAAGAACTTAAACTAAAAACATCTGCTATTAATTACTACTGTGCGCTTTGCTGTGACATTGTTATTGTCATACATGTTGTCACTGAGGTTTCTCAGTTCTGTTTCATTTTCTCTCTTTCTGCAGGTGTAGAAGCACACTATTAGTGTTTCTCACTATCACTCTTTTTTTTCTTTTATTCTCTTCTCTCTGTTTTTAACTTTTTATGCCATCTCTCTCCCTTTATTTTTATCTCTTTCTTGTTTATCTTTGTGTACATTACATTTGAAAGGCACTCAAAGAAATTTCTAATAAAGGTTTTTTTATAATTATAATCTCGCGTTATAGCAAAAGCCTTGTGCCGCACTTGTGAAAGTAAATTTAGTTTTCTCCTTGGGCCCCAGACAACAGTTCTAATTGCCACTTTGCCACACTGGACACACAAGAAAAAACAAACAAACAAAAAAAAACTTTGGGGTTATTTCCCAGAACTTGAAGTTTAAATTTTTAAAACTTTGAGGTTGCATTGCATCTTGGGACTTAAATGTTATTTCCAGGAAGTCAGAGGTTACTTTCTTTAAATCTAGATGTTGCTTTCCTGAAATGTCAGGTAAATTGTCTGGAATTTGATAAATGGACTGAATTTATATATCTTCTAGTTGTATTGAATAAATAAAGCACTTTGCACTTAACCCACAGTCACATATTAATATTCACAAACACACACATTCATACACTAGTATGCAGAATGGTAGGCCATATGTGGCAGACCCCTTATCTACTGTATTGATGCACAGTTTTTTTTTCCTCTTTTTTTTTTTCCATATTTGCATCACCAGGCTAACACAAATGTCTCTGTGTTCCAGTCTCTGCTCAGGAGTCCAGAGGTGATCCGGTTCCTGCAGCAGCAGCAGCAGCAGCTCCTGGCTGCACAAAGCCGCAGCCAATCACAGCAGCACTTCCAGGGTTGTTGACAGTGACTAGTGTGTATTTGATAGTATTTATGATACATCACAAGGGTTGTGAAAAAAAAAAATACAAATAAGTAATTTATGCATAATTAGGTGAAGCTGCTCAAAGTCTGACTTTGAACTGGACAGAAAATCATTTTTAATGTGTAAGCAAAACGTTTTCTCCATTTGCTTTATGTTTTAGTTTAAAGTTAGTTGGTTTTACTGTCCTTCGTAATGCAGTTTTAATCAGGACATTTAATTGTAACTGTCTAATGTTTTTAAGACATTGCATCCCTGTGCTGTTATATTTATATTGTCTTCCAATTGCTTATTTATCTTGTGTGTTCTTGTTCGTTCTTACTGTTTTTGTGGTATTTATGTGTTGTGTTATTGTGAACATCAACCTGATGTAATTCACCTGAAATGTTCAAAAACAATTGTAGCATTGCTTTAAAAAAAGTGCTGCACTTATGCAGTTCAGTGTTTTTCCTTGTGACAATCAGTGGTCATAATTTTCACCCAACAGAGTGTCACAGTTTATTTTTAAAATAACATTTTGTATGTTCTTTTCATCTTAAAGCTTAGCGTAAGTAAAATTTTTATCTAGATCTAAATAAGTTAACACAAGCCAAATGTGTGATGTGAAAATTATGACGTCTATGTCTGCTGAGCCTATAAAAATAAAAACATTAATACTCCGACACTGACTACAGAATGAATTTACAGTACCGTTTGAGCTTTATTCTTAATAAGGGTGCTAAGGCTTCAAAAAAAATCCAAATGTTGGAAAAACGCATGATAAAGAAAAATGTTTAATTGGAGATGTAAAAAAAAAAAACAGTACATTCAGTCAAACGTTGGTCAAAACATGGAAATACACCACAATTCACTACAACATAAGAGTACCTCCAAATAGATCCCATTTAGTTTTTGTACAGCTAAAGTGTCTGAACCCAGAAATGTTTCATTATGCTGAAATTACATTGTCTTTACATCATGTTAAATGCAAAAAACAGCTCTAGAGTACATCCTTATGACTCCTACAGTAGTCATATTGAGATGCGATGAGATAAGCCCACGGACAGAACATATGACTACCTGTGTGAAGACAGTGACCACACACTCAAAAGTGTGTGTTTGCGTTTATGTTATGATACAGAAGAGATGGGGTTGTGCGGGGATCCCATCTGCGTAAGCACCTTGTCCAGCCACTGCAGGGGTCCATGCAGGTGCACTTCTATCCAGCAGGGGGTGCTGGTCACATCTTGACGGTGGTATTCGGCACCCCAACCCTGAGGAATGGAAGTGGCCATAAATCTCAGCTGGTGGGATGGTGGTGTGGGTGCTAACAGGAGGGAGTCTTACCCCACCTTGTATGTGGCAGGATCTGACATGTCTGGCAGCAGCTACAAGGTCTAAACATTTCACTGCTCAATAAATTACAACCAACAACGTACAGTGCAAGCACTAACTTTCCATTCAGCTTTCAGGAAGAATTACTGGGCCTGTTGCTGCAGTTGTGTAATGAAAAATGAACGCTGGTACCTTGACGAAGCTCATGCGGATGGTGCACATCTTGGTGAGCTCGTAGACGACCTCGAAGCCGTGGTTGACAGACTGGGCGAGAAGCTGAGCGAACAGCTGGTTGTTGAAGATCTTGAGGCTGCAGCCGCTGGGGATCTTGCACACGGTGGTGGTGTGGAAGCCATGCTGGAAATTACAGTTGCGGCTCTGCACGAAGATGCTGCTGTCACTCAGACACTCTGCATAAACCTCCCCTCCTACGTAGTACAGATGTAAACCTGAGAAAAAAAAAAAAGGGAAGGAAGGAGGTGTGTTACATTCAAGCTTGAGAAAGTCCAGTATAAATAAACCACTAGAAAACTACGAGATTAATAATGTTTATGTATTCTGACAAAAACATTATCATCACCAGGGAAACAGCAATAGGAGAAAAGGTTATTCCAATAAATTTGGCCAATTAGTCTTAGATTCATATTTTCATGCATGAATTTAATGGACTGCGACAAATATTTATTCATACTAATGCATTTTCATTGTTTGTTTTTTTTTAAAGCTGGTTTTTCAGTGTTCAGACAAATCAGATCAAGATTTTGTTTTTCCTGAACACTAATCAGGGTTGCAGTTTTCTAGAAGTTTATTAACTTCTAGAAAACTGCAAAAATACTAAAACACAGAGTTCCTTCCAGTCAAAAATACAGTAACACTGAATAATTACCGCTTGTTAAAAGTTGAGGTGGTTTTAGAAAAAGGGAGCAAAATCCCTTCACGTCATCACTCTATATTTGTTTAACAGATATACATCTCCAATAATGAATTAAATCCAGGTGGCCAATATACTTCTGATCATAAAGTTAACTTCCAACAGGTTATGTTCAACCTCAGTTTGAAAATCAAAATTTGTGAAAAGATCCCTTTAAAATATTTGAACTTGTGTGTGTTCATTTTTACACATTACTTATCTTTTATTTATTTATTTTTGCATTACCTTGTAAATGCTCAAATACAATTAGATTTTTTTTAAAGACTATATTTGTTCTATCAGACTAAAGAGGGCTGAATACAATTTACTGCATTACTTGCTGTATAATTTCCCTTCCATTCTACTACACTGCTTTATGTTGGTCTGTCACATAACATCCCATTAAAATTAACTGAAGTATGTGGCCTTAATGTAACTAAAACGGCTGTAAATCAGCTGGGGGTGCTCACCTTTGCCTATGTGCCTGCGAGTGTGCTCGATGGTGGAGTTGCGGTTGACGTTGGAAAGCAGACCGAGACAGAATCGGTTCTTGTTATTGGACGGATCTGTAAAGCCGTCAACCAAGACGCTGCGGGACGAGGCGTGGAACGTCTCCCCCACCCGGTTGTTGAGCTCGTAGTAAGCTATGGAGCACCAGTACTCAGGTTCTTCGTAACAAACAGGCCTCATATCTAAAGACAGGGTTTAGTGTCTTTAGTGGACTTTTTAAAAAAAAAATAAATTGTGTAGATTTTTCAGAATGGAGGAAAATGATAAGTTACCTCTGTGTGGAGCAGAGAATGTGAGTTTTGGGGTTTCTGTGGAATTGCTTGGCTTCATATCTTCTTGAGTATTTGTCTCCATCATGCTGTATGGAGGGGGAGGAGTCTCAGCTAGATCAACACAAACGTCAGAAGGAGAAAAATAATCAATGCAAATTGATCAAGGTCAGAATCTTTAACAGCTGGGATTTTTTTTTTGGTTCCTACCTGTGATGTGATACGGACTGCCAGGTTCTGCAGAGTTGCTGGGGGAGTTGGGGTAACTCTGTGAGGTGGGCGACTGGGCGAGGGAGGAAGTTGGAGAGGAGGAGAAGGAGGAGACAGGAAGCGGCGGGAAGGAGTCCGGGTAGGTGGCATTCTGTGGCATCAGTGGCTCGTTGTTCAGGGAGGCATTCCTGAACTTGGCCAGTAAACTGTGCTGAGGGTTGAATTCACTGTGGCGTGGGACCAGAACTGGTGGAAGCACTGATGACACAAGAGAGAGAGAGATGATAAAGCACCCAAAGAAGACAATACAAACTCAAAATCCACCAATAATCATAATCAGTTTATAAATCCTGTCTTTCACCAAAAACTCTGGCAGATCCTTTCCTGTACCTGGAGTCTCCACACGCCTGTAGTGGTAGGGGTTGACGCAGATGTCCTTCTGTTTGGAGCCAAAGGGGAACTCGCAGCATTCGAGGGGTTTCAGCTCATGGTGGGACTGCAGGTCAGGCCAGCGCCACACCCTGCAGTAGATGACATGGGGAAGACCCTTCCTGTGGGACACCTGCAGTCTCCCATCCAGCGACCGAGGAATAGTCACACACTTACCTGAAGGTCAGAATAAAAACGGAAATACATGTAAATATCTGACTAAATGTAGAGTAAAACGGAATCATTAGAGCTCAGCGATCGGGAACCATATTACTGTTGTAGTTAGAAAAGACGGAGCTGCTTCATAGAGACTGATATATCAATCAGCCGGGATTTTGAACTTTTATTTTCAGAGTTGTGACTTTTGGTGAGATTTTTGGTCATTTATAAAAGTTAGACCTCGTAAGAAAGTCTAAATTATTACAACTTCTGACTTCTAAAGTTCTTAGAAACTCTTTAATGTGTCTTTCAGTGGTGAAAAACTAGAAAACAAAAGTCAAATTCACATTGTTTCATTGTGGGTTTTTTCCCATTGTTTTCAATATTATTAACTTCTCCGCTTTAGTTCCTTCCACCTTGTACATATATTCATATCCCAATTTCATACCTACTTCATCAAAACTTACATCCATTCCATACCCACAAACAAATTATTACCCTTCTATGTACCAAGACAAATAAGACTTTATTTATCTTGGTGGTTAAGAACCGTAGTTAAATGAATTATCTACATGATCATAAAAATGCTCAAATTGTATATGTATATCATTAGTTACACATCATTTTTTGTTCACCTTGTGTTACTCTTGTATTTCCACTGATTGTGGATCTAAATCAGTTGTCTGTTATCAAACGTGATAAACTATTGTCCCTAATGAAACAAACTGAAATGAGTTGGACATTTATAAACATAATTCCCTATAACCGATTATACAGAGGAACCTTCAGAAATTTCTAGCAGGATTGGGACCACTAGTAATTTCTTGGTATCACTTTATTAAGAAAACAACAAAAAAATGACATAAGAATAAATAAATACTACATATAAATGAATAAATGTAAGCATGTGCTCTCCTATCATAAGCTGTTTTATAAATAACATGATACCAAGAAGACTATCTGACAGGGGTTGACCAGCAATTTTAAAGGAGTGTTTGTCTCCCCTGGTGGCTGGTTGTCACTCGTTGGTAATCACAGTTGCTACCAAACCAATGAAAGACTGATAACAAACTGACTGATGCAACACTAGTACCAAAAACAGCCTGGCACAAGACTCTCACAAAAAGAAATACAATTCTGTATGTATATTATTCTGCAGAAGGTAATGTACAGAGAACGGCTAATGAAATACAGAGAAAAGTCCTGAACTGGGACTTTAACTGCCTCAGTAGGCAGTGCATTATGTGCTAATATATCATTACATCAAGTTTGTAATATTATATACTTCGAACGTGTGTGTTTACTAATGCAACAAGAGTTAATGGATTACAATAACATAAAATGAAACTATTCTGGCAAATATTCCAAGCTGAACTTGGGCAGCGCTCTTTTGATTTGATGTTTTTACAGGTAGGAGCATCGTGACACCATGTATAAAAGTAAGAAGGTCTCATTTTCCGGAGCTCATCTCGGGATTGTCTTGTGACTCCATTTACCAGTTATGAATGCTGCTTTAGGCAGTACCATAGGCTAAGCTCTTCTGTGTTTATCAATGTGCTACTCACTGGGCTGCCCAGGGCAGCTGAGGGCTCGCTCCAGTTCCTCCATTGCTCCCTTTTTCTTCTTCAGTTTCTTCACCAGAGAATCCACGGCCTTTTCTGCCCACTTCTCCTCCTCGTCTCCTTGTTTCCAGCCGAGCAGACGCTTAACTGCAGGGCTGGTGAAGGAGAACAAGGACGTAATCGACGAAGAAGAGTTCATTTTGATATGGACAAATAGCTGGCAGGACGGGCTGAGATGAGGTCCAGTTAGCGGCGCAATCGTTCCCTTGAGGCGAAGGGGTGAAGAGGCAAATAACTTACAGCCAGGACACAAGACAAAAAAAAAAAAGAAAAAAAAAAACGGAGGATGAAAGAGATATTGTGATGAGTAAACAGAGACGTTTCTTTTATTATTTTGCTGTAGCTTCCAAGCAGCTCCGGGGGAAGAAGCTGGACGTCAGCCAGCACAGTGTAAACCGTAAATCCCTTCTCTGTGTTGGCACAGATGGGATCCGGCAACTTCGGATTCTGAACCTCCTGCAGGGATAGTTTTTCCTCACGCAGCCAGACGTCCAGCTCAGGTTTCAATCATCTAGCAAGAGAGAGGAGAGACCGAGTTAAGGAACAGTTTTGCTAATTCAGATGAATGGAAGCACCGTTTGTACATTTTGAGGCCAAAGAGATGTATTTGTCAAGTAGAAGAGAAGTGATTCATACTTCGAAAAAAACGTGATGCACATTTATATGCAGCACATCTGAGTGGACACTGTAGAACCACCTGTCGCTGCCTTGCAGCTGCAGGTATTTTTAGGTATGCTTCGTCTAGGGACAAGAATTTATTCCTCATTCTTCTTTGAAAAACATCTCTAGATCAGGGGGATTTCACAGAATGTTATGTAAACATCCGTTTCCAAGTCTTGCCACAAATTCTCAATTGGATTTAGGTCTGGTCTTTGACTGGACCTCTGCAGCACATGGATGAACTTTAATCAAAGCCACTTCTGACTGCAAGTTTTAGATTTGTTGTCCAAGTGGAAAGTGAATCTTCTGACTTGACTTTTGTAACCTTGAGTAGTTTTTCCCTTCAGACAAATAGACCCAGTGTTTGACTCTATCCAACTTTGACTAGTTTTCCTGGAAGCAGATGAAAAGCATCCACTCTTTATGATGCTGTCATCACCATTATTGATAGAGAGGGGTGTGCACAGGACCTAATTCAAACCTCGGACTCAGCTCTACTGTCTGTGTGTAAATTTCGTCGTGTGAACCTGCCTGCTATTTTCCGCTACGCTTCTCCTCGGATGTTTGCATGCAGCTCAGGTTTTTGTGACAGCACAGACTGCACGCATCGACGGTGACCATGACGCTACCATTTGTAACTCCAAGCACAAAGAATTTGTTGTTTTTCTCATTTGGATAATTTATATTTTAGGAAGCGCAAAATACAACTAATTTGATTTCCTGGAGAGAAATCCCCCATTTCATTATTTTCAACATCTGAGTAGGGAGGTTACAAGTTAGGATGAAGCGAGCAAATCAACTGAGCCAAAAGTAGTATGAATATGGTTCAAGTACCTCGTATTCCTTAATGTGGAGAAGGCCACAACTTCCCCCTCCCAAGCGTTATGTTTTTCATCTAGGCCAAAAAGTTCAGTTTTGGTTTCTCTGATCAGAGCACCTTCTACCACATGTTTGCTGCGTCTGCTTTTAAAGCTTGTTCCTTGTTATGTCTTTTAACTCTGGCTTTTGTCTTGACACTCCACTGCAAATGCCAGATTTGCACAGCTAACAGTTATCGGCAGTTTATCCCACCTGAGCTGTGAATCTCTGCAGCTCTTCCAGATTTATCATAAGCCTTATGGCTGCTTCTCTGATCAATGCTCTCCTTTTCTGGCCTTTTAATTGAGCTGGATAGGTATGTCTTTAACACTTTGTAGTTGTGCAACACTCTTTTGGAGGTTGGATTGAACAATTATCAGAGATTAGCAAAGCTTTAGATACTGATTTATTTGGAGGTAGCAGAGTAACAGGGGCTGGATGCTAATAGATGCCACACTTTCCAGACTTTTACTTAATTGTAAAAAGAGAAAAATTAACCACAAATCACTTTCCCTTCACTTCACTAGTATGGGAAAGGTTAAAAAGGTCTGTACGGGCATTGTAGGTGGATTTCCATAATAAGGAGGCTCAATCAGCAGGGCTACACAAAGCATGCCTGTATCACAGTGGTCTCCCACATGCTACACTATATTTTTCTCAGAAGGGGAACATTAAATGCTTAACAAAACTGTCTCAGCTAGAGAAAGCCAAGATGGCCAGGCTCATTTCTAGATCCACCAACAATGAGGAATGTCCTTTCTGGCCTCTGTTTCTATGATCATGCCACTGACGCCCAGGAGCCTTACTGTCTGGCCAGAACACATCACAGAACAGGAGGGGGAGAGCGAGACAGGGAGGGAGACAGAAATACAGTCCCTGTGTTTGTATCCTTCTGTCCGCCTAAATAGCCACTGAGTATTACACAAATGCCCACAGCGAGGTGCGGATGTACGAAAAGAGACACTTTGATGCCCAGCCTCTAAAATATTTACACTGGAATTATCTGAGACTGAACCAGAAGATTATAACTTGCCTGCTTGTTTTTTTTTTTTCCTCATTGTGTGGTTCAGGCTCTCAGCATTTTCACTTCATTCTTGCAATGCTGATTACAGCTTTGTTGCACATTGTGCATATTGTGGGGGTTTTGTGCACTGGATGCAACTTTAGAAAAAAAAAAAAAAAGACCGGAAATATAGAAGATGATTTGGACCTTCATTTTAATGGTGACTATGGCATAATGTGTTTTTAAAAAGCTAAAGAACAGATCCACATTTGAGCAGATCTCAACAAAAAGACAGCGTATCTACATATCTGCATACTTGTACTTGTTGGTTGAAATGTGACCAGTTCTGTGGCCCCTGAATGGCAGACAAGCAGACAGCTGAGGAGGGATTTTTTTTTTTTTCTTACAATGACAGCAAAGCTGCATCAGTCCGTCTCTGCTGCTGCCGCTGCTTTATGGAGCCTGGCGTCACTCAGTCTGCAGCCTCAGATAGGCTAATTACCTAATGCTTTATCACCAGTGCACCCCTTCCCAAAAAAGTAAACACGCCAGCTTCCTTTAACTATCGCTGCATCCAGTCTCTGTGCCGCTGCAGAATCCGGTTTCTGCCCTAACCTCTGCACACACACCTTTACTCTGCGCAGGAGAATGTGACATAAAAAAAACACATAAAGTCGCCATTATTTCAGGTTTTATATATAATGTTTAACAACATGTCGTCACTACATGAACGCTTTTAGAAATCAAAACATTTTAATCCAAAATAATCTAAAATTTACTTCTTAAATTTTAATTACGTTGTATAGTAAGAGAAAGTCATTTTAATAGCAACCAGGATAAAAGTTGTCAGAGTAAACATCTTACGCAACTCCAAAGACAATAACAATCTTTGCGCTTTGTATTGGATGCAAATTCATAACAAACGTCAAAATGACAAAAACACTCTTAACCCTCTCAAACAGTGTGTTGTTTCATTTCTCACCTGTGTTGTCATAGCAAGTGCACCGCTGACTGCTAAGCGTGTGTGGAGGTTTCCGCGTCTGCAGCGGGTCAGGCCGGTGTGCTGAGGTTGTGAAGGTGTGTTTCTGTCTGCAAGTGTGTGTGCATGTGTGTGCGGAGTGGGTTGTGTCTAGGAGCGTGTGTTTACGTTGAAAAATAAAGAAAGTAGTAAAACAGAAGTGCATCCAGTTAGTTCTATTTCAAAATAAAAGTGTCAGAGAGAAACTCGGGTTGGTGGACGTAGCCTGGAAATGAAGAATCTTTTGTGGAGTACATAGCAGTTTTTTTTTTTTTCGTTTAAGAAGATTGATATTGAAATCTTATCCTAAAACACTTACAAAAAGTGTCCATCTGCACTGACTCTATGAGATGGAGGGCCAAATTTGCACCATTTTCAAACTGCAGTCAGGGACCTCAAATGTCTCCTGACATTTTGCACAATCTTGCTCTTGATGACTTCATGAACATACTTTTGTTTTATAACCTGCTTATATTAATTATATTATTAATGATAAGAATGGATTTTTTTTCTTTTTTATTCAAGTACATCTGAAATGTTTATCAAAGAGAAATGCTTAAATGTACAAGAACACATGAGCCCTAATCAATATTTAACTTGAGGATACATATTCACTGAACGTTTTGTTTGTTTGTTTTTGTTTCTAGCTCACTAAACGATGCTCAAAGCTGAAAAAGTGACTAAGATACTCCAGTAATTTTATTATGAAATACCGATGACAGTGTCTTCCGGTGCTACGCGACCACGTTTTCTCGTTTTGACGCAGGTTTCGTGGAGCTGAGAGACTCCGCTCCTCCAGCAGCCACAGCCGAGCGCCACACAGCCTCGGCGGCGTCAGCCTGGCTGGAACCGCAGCGCCTGTGTGCTGGATCCCTCCGCCTCCCCCCACCGTCCTGGAACTTTCCCAGGATTTCAGATTCGGTGCGCGCGCCCGTGCATCCGTGCCACCTGAGCCACGCACAGCGCGCACGTATCTCCATTCATCACGTTACACCTCATGGAGAACTACAATCACACCTGTTCTCTTTCAGGCTATTTTAGCAAGTTTCCCAGGACAGCCAGCGATAGTTTGTCTTATTTAAAAGCTATTTATAGTGTACTTCTAACATTAGTTATCTGACCTCTTATAACTACAATACATTTGTGGTTATTTCTACAGAAATGAGTGGAAATGTTCATTTCTTCATTTCTGAAATTATAGCATCGTGGAAAAAATGTGCTTATTAGACTCTCGCTTAGCATTAACTTATAATAATAACGCAGACAAACAAAACACTGCACCTGTGGTGTGAAAGAATGATAAAACTGGGACTCATTCTCTGCGGTCCTGCTACATAAATTCCTCCACGCTGTGAAATGTGAGTTTTCCGTTGCCGAATCGAGATTTGCATGATCACGCATCGTTGGAAGTCACGTAGAGGTCTTTTTCCATTGCGGATGGATACGATCCTTTTATTGGGAGTGCCGTGACCGGTCCAGTTAATGACGCAGACTCGGCTGGCGACAGTGAGTCTACAAGTTTGACATTTTCACAGTTTACAGCAACTGCTGCGGGACGTAACGGTACTGCCAGCACCAAGTGAAACCTCTCAGGAGACCCTTTCAGAAAAAACATGCTTTAATCCCCCCTCCACCAACCGTCAGGTAAATCATCCAACAACCGTATCAGCGGCGGGCCGCAGAGACCTGAGTAAAAACCGGTGTTTCCAAAGTCTCAACACAGGGAAGCAGAGGCGTCCCACAGCCAAAATGTGCTTTTTTTTTTTTTTTTTTTTCTCACAAAAGCGCTGATTCCGGAGACAGGAAGCAAGAACTGTGCAGATGATGATGATTCACCGCCTCTGTGTCTTGTCTGGCTGTAAGAGCGCAGACAGGGAGGACACAAACAGGATGCGCTCCCTGGGGCCCCGGGAGGCCCCAGAGACATGCGCATCGACGGGACTCTAGAGCTCAGGAAGAAAACAGCACTATTAAGGTTCATTTTAGGGAAAAAAAAAAAAAAAAAAAATGAAGCTACCCTCTCTGGACTTTTTTTTTTTTCGCAAAATGTCAACCTGTGCATGATGTAAACCAACAAAAGGGAGAAGTATAGTATATTCATCTAGAATTCAAAGGTTCCTTTTTGTGTTTAATTAGATAAATAAAAATACTCAGACACCTTTATAGCTAAAACATAGAACCTAATTAGATATTTAGTAAAATTAACATTTGAATCAGTCAGATTAGATAAAGGTTGCTCCAGGGTTACAGGCGCACAGTGCATGCCAATCTAAACAGAAAAGGGTACATTTCAATTTAGTTAAATAAAGAACCAGAGCAGGGGTAACTTCTTTGAAGAGTAAAAAAAAAAAAAAAAAAAAAGGAAAAAAAAAAAAAAAAAAAAAGGTAAAAGTAAAAAAACAGCATATAATGCAAAATTGGAATGAATGAGGACATATCAGCAATGAGAAGTGGTCATGTCCTCCAGCAGCCTTAGCCATAGCAACGCAATGTCAGGATCACCTAAGCTGCTCTAACTATAGGCTTTATCAAAAACAGAACATTTTGAGCCTTGTCTTAGAGGTAGAAGTCTGCTTCACAAATTAAAACTGGCAGCTGGTTCGACCGGAGAGGAGCCTGATAACTAAAATATCTGCCTCCCATTCTACTTTTAGAAATTCCAGGAACCAGCAGTAAACCTGCAGTCTGAGCAAAGTGCTATTGGGAACATTTTGAATAATCAGCTCTCTCTTGTATGATTGGAGGTTGATTATCAACTTCCCTAAAGACCCCAAATTCAGGGACAATGGTTTTAAGAGACTCTTGGGATCAAAGAGTTAAGGGTATCATCATTTTGTCAATATCGTAGAGATGAAAGAAGGAAATCATAGAAACCAGTTTGATAGGGGATTTAAATGACATGTCCTGGTCAGAGATAACACAGAGATTCTTTGCTGTATTACCAGAGGCCAATTTAATGGCAACCAGAAGACGTGATTGAGCAGTTTCTTTTTCAAAGATAATTTCTGCCTCGTCAGAATTCAAAAGCAAAAAAAAAATCGTCGTTATCCAGATTTTATGTCAAGATGACATGACCTCATAAAACACAGTAGATTACTTGACTTTCCAGATTATTGCTGATTGTAGAAACGTCACAGTGGACTCTTCACACTATGGGAAGAGGCTCGAGTTCTTTTTCTTCATAGCCAAGGAAATACTCCTGACACCATCTCTGGTACAGGTGTGGCTTATTGCGAAGAGAGGCGGCAGCTGTAGTCCGTGTCCTGGATGCATGTGTAACTCTAAAACGTTCTGTTTTCCTTCCAATAAGAACTTTCAGTTTCAAAAGGGATGATCTGACACGGATTCTTGCAGTTTACTGTTAACGAATTGTTCTATACTGATATAATCCAGACTGTGGAAGTGGCCAAAGAAAACATCTTTTGGTGCAAAGTGGTGTTTTATTTTGTCTTAAATGACAGGTGCATTTAATCTACATATCTTTTAGGTCTAAATCTGAAGTCTATTTTTGTTGGAAAATTGTTAAAAACTAAAATGTATACATTTATAAAGGCTGGCCACTAAAGGGCAGAAAAAAAAATTCTGACAATAAAATCAATCTCTGTTCTGTTATTTTCTGTTTAATTATGTTTCAAGTCATTCAGCCTATCAACCACATTTGTTATTTTGACACACACTCCACATGATCAGGTCCTTCACACATTTCTACATGCAACTCTTACATTCTCCGCTGATTGAGGACAATATAAACATCAGGAGACATCAGTACAGGATCAGTCAGACATCCTGTTTACCGTGGCAACAGAAACGCATGTGTAACAACGGCCAATGAAAAGCCAGCATCCATATAAAAAGGCAGAACCACCAGGAATCCACAACTGTGTCATTATCTCATTTCCAATAATGTTTGGATGGAAAATTGATTTAAGCTTTGCTTTTTCTGATGATTAAGTTGAACAACAGACACAGAACTCGCCCCCCCAATGCTCACTGTAAGGCTCCATGGTCCTATAACAGGTTGTCTCTGTGACACAACGGCTTGTCCTTTTGGCTAATCAGTCTTATGTGGCGAATGCAGTTTCCAGGCTCCGGTGATGTAGCGTAGGCGAATGAAAATCAGATCCCGTCCCATCTGCAGCCAGCTCCAAAATGGGACCAGTTTGGACCCTGAAAGAGGAAAAATCAACTCTGCACTTTCAACAGAAGTTCCTTAAAGTCAAACAGTAAAACTGTGGTGGTTTGCAGGCAATTAAACATGACTAACAAAAAGAAAAAGTAGCTAACTTGTATTAAAAAAAAACTGCAAAGGAATCAGTTTGGGTAAAGGGTGAAGGTCAAATACTTCATGAACAACCAACCTTCTATTTCTGTCCAGTTCACCGCCACTTCTGCTATGGGGATTTTAAAACACTGGGCAATGTACAGGAGCTCCACGTCAAAAGCCCTGAGAGAGCAAAGACAGATACACAGCAGGCCTTCAGCAAAAAATCCAGGTTTCACAGCAGCTAAATAACATTTTAGAAGAGAGGAAGAATAAATTAAACAGTTCTATTGATGATTCCGTTTTATATATTCTACTGAAATTTTATTTTAATGATCTAATTAAATAAAATCACTATGACACACATTGAAGTTTGTAATTATACAATGACAAAATGTGAAAATGCTTCCAGGGACAGGAGGACTTCAGCACCGCACTGAATATTGACTTTTAACTTTAAATAATTCCTTTATAATCAATTAGTAGTTTGAAAAACCTTTCCTTTCTTACCAAGCATTTATTCATGAAAGTTAATGACCCTGACCATGTACAGATTTCCATTCTGACACATTACAGTTGGATCACGACGTGATTTATTGCATTTGTGGTTTCTTACCATCGCTCGACATGGAGAGAGGAGAAGGTCTCGAGAGCAGCTTCCCGCGTGAAAAGCTTGAAGCCACATTGTGTGTCTTTGATTCCCCTCACACAGAGGAACCACACCAGGAAGTGGAAGCCATACATTAGGAACGTACGAAACACAGATCGCTGAAGAAATTTAAAAAAATTGGCAATTCATTGCGCAAAATAGACATAATTTGTTGCCTTTCCCCTCCCCCTTTTTAAGAAGACAAAAAAGAGTTTACCTGAGCTACAGAGTCTTTTTCTAGGTGAGCTCTGGAGCCACACGAAATGGCCAGGTTCTCCTGCAGGAAAAAAATGCCGTAAATAATCTGTGTCTTTTGAGTGTCTTCTTAAAACCTTTGTTTCACGTTTTCTTTCCACTCATTTTAGGTGTGGTGCATGACTATTTTCTGAGTATTACTTTTATTTGTTTATGAAACCATTTAAGTCTGAACTGAAAGAACGACTACAGAATGACCACTGCGGCCATTTTCTCATATCCGCTTTTGTAAACATTCAAACATTTATTCCAGTCTCCCTGCCATTAAAGGTCATATTTTTACGTTAAGAGCAGAGGTGACATCACATTGTGTGCAATAGAGCAGTATCTGTAAAATAAGACTCTAAACAAAGGCTATGTAGTTCACATTTCAAACTGCTTTTAGCGTCTTATATTAACAATTAGGTTAATTTATGCTTGTTTTTCTGAACCACAGATGTGTCACAAAAACATTTGTTCTTAATGTTACTCTTTGATTTTGCTTTAGACTTCTCCCGCTGATATGCATAATACAATGCATTCAGGTTTCTTAATTCTGTAACATCCACACTAAAGAGGTTTACTGTCAATGCAGATTAGATTAAGCTGAAAATTTGCATGTTTACATTACCAATCACTTTCTGGAGAAATACCCAGAAACATATTAATAATTTTAGAACCAATGAGGTGATTCTCATGTGTTGGCTGATAATGGGACAGTCAGTAGATGATAGATCTTCTCATGTCTTACCTATTTTGAACTGAAGACATTACTTTTACATACTATTGATCTGATGGAAAAAAATATTTTAGGGTTGAAAAACATATTTCACATTACTTGTCCACTGCCATATTTTTTTAAGCATGTGCTGTATAATATATGAAAAAGAGCCAGAATTCAAAGAGAAACATTGAGTAACTTTAAAACGTCTGGAGGACAACTGATAAAAACACAATACTGTACATTTATAAGAGACTGTATAGGAAAAGTAAAATAAAAACCCAACTGGTCCAGTGATGACGTCTTTCAGTCCAGCCTCCACTTTGTCAAGATCAGAAAACTTTGTGGCTCCATCAGCATCTGCCATCAGTATGAGTTTCCCTCTGGAGCTCAGAGTTCCCTTTAGGAGCAGCAGAGAGACTCCAACATTAGTAATAGCAACACAAAATCAAACTGTCAGTTACTTCAGAAAAAAAAAAAAAAAAAAAAAAATCTGCAGGCCAGTGTCTCACCATTCTCACAGCTCCTCCTTTCCCCCTGTTCTTCACCAGCGTCAGGACCCTCACTTTATCTGCACTGTATTTGTTGGTGTAACGCAACGCAACCTGGCAGAGCATCACAAAAACATACCAGCTTTACCATCACCGAGCAAAGTAGAGCAGAACTCATGGGAGCACATTAAAAAATACGATTTAAATCATTACCTCTGTGGTTTTGTCTCTGCTGCCATCATCGACCACAATGACCTCATAGGTGAAAGTGGGGTTTTGTTTCTGTAGTGAGATAATGAGAGGGATTTTCACAACGATGCTTTTAATCGGACTAATGCTGCCACCTAGCGGTAGCTGTTGGAAATAAGGCCCACATCCTGAAATGAGAGCTTTTAGAAGATGCTCTACTACTCTTAGACTCTTTGTAGGTTATAATCTACAAATGGTCTCAGAATCTTTTAAATAAACTGTTTTCTTATGAGAAATGATAAAAAAAATTGTTGTACTAACGTAGAATGTTGAGTAGAACAATTAAATTCGTCTACTGATCTATGTAAGATGCATGAAAAAAATTAGTATCAAAAACTAAGCACAGAATAAAAGGATGGAGCTGCCAGAAAACTTGCACTTTATATGTTAGTAAGTACAACAAGACTTTTCATATGACCATATTTTTACTCACTTGTCTATTTTCCAAGTACTGCATTGCTTCATCAAGCATCACAGGCACTGAAACCAAAGAAAGATGCAAGACTTTTCACTTTTCCGTGGGTGGACCGTGACATGAAACCTTACGGATGAAGTTTGATGCATTATTGGGAGTTTCCCATTTGTTAGTGAAGGGAACCGTTGTTCGGTTTAATGTTTTAGATTTCATTGGAATTATAAATCACATTCAAGACTGCTTTCTCAATTTATTTATTTTTTTCTACTGCAAAAACCATCCCCGACAGAAAAGCAGGGATAACTCACTTCGGAGCTCCTCGTTGTAGGCAGGTATCACCACAGAAAGCTCTCTGGAAAATGGATCATGCAGACTCGGGAAGGGTTTGCGCTCTCCTGTGGCTGTGAGGAAGTATTTCTCCTTCTCGTGGCGAGTCAGGTTCACCATCCCTGCAGTCAGATGTGCGACTACAAGCACCTACAACGGGATAAATACGGTAATGAATCTCATCTTATTAGCGACATGCCTTCCATTTCACGTTTTGTACACATGATAAGTTTGAAGTTACCATGTGTTTTGGGAACAGAAAAATAATGTTTGAGGATTATGTTCATGTTAAAGCAAACAGTACTGTTATATTGCACAGACTGGGAATTTTTTAAACTATACATTATAAGTTTATAATCATCTTATTTGTTGGTTTGAAACATTTTATTTGTATATCATTTGCCTAAATACTTAGTAAACCCTGCTAAGCTCAGCTTACTACTATGGCTTATGGTATGTTGTTTGTGCTCAATATAAAATGGATCAAAAAGTAAAACCAATTGAGATTTAAACATGATCCAATCTTGGCAAAAACTATAGTTGATAAAGGAAAAATACATTTTCAACTAAACACAATTTAAAGCAGTTATAATCCTCTTCCAATTCAATCACAGTGGTAGAGTGGCATCATGTGTTCTGTCCATGTTAACACTTACTGACTCGAACTAACCGTAAGGCTACAGTAATTATGCTTACAGGGCTAAAACACTGATTTCTAACCAGCTTCATTACAACTCACTCCTCATGACAACCTGTACTCGTAGTACATTATAAACTGAAGAGGTTAAGTCAGTCTTCATTTTCAATTAAAATTACAAAAACTGTAAGACTGTAGCCAGCTTCTTGCACCACATTTTAATCAATAAATTCTTCACACCTTCAACCACATCAACGTCAAATATTACTCACCACAATCAAACCGAGAGCTGCCAAAGCAAAAAGAGCTTGGACTATATCACAGAGGATATCCATTTTCCTTAAAACAGCCTTTAACAGACCACCTGCCCAGGTGGCTAGCTGAAAGGCTAGCTTGTTTCCTTGATATTTGAATTGAAACCTTGCAGCCGGTGCTCCAGTTTCAACCTACCTACATGAAAACGCAAGCTTACAATAACTCGTTTACAGTGAAAATGATGAACAACCCGTCATACGTCCATTGTTCTGTGGACAGATGAACTCTGCTTCCAATCACAACTGTACACAGCGGCGACACGGAAGTCACTGTTGCTTCTCGACACATCATCAGTTTGAGACAAGAAGGAACCGCGTCGCTCCGAGATAGGCAGCAGTCACAAAACACTGCCATCTACTGGTAATAGGTGGAAACGTCGGCTGTTAATTATAATTGATTTAAGACAATACAGCTTTACTGCTGAGCGTAATTTTTGGAGAGCGTAATTCTTGTTTAATTTATCTCATTACAATGCAATTTATTTTTTCAGAATGAGTGCACTTTTAACAAAAGATAAATTAAACATTTTGTCAGAGAATTGTGCTCAATTGTATCTTCCCCTCCATTCAATTATAGTCACAAGTAAACTTGTGCACCCATTTCTTGTTTGTAAATACATTCAATGGAGAGCACTGGCACTATTAGCCCACTTTAAAAAAAAAAAAAAAAAAAGTGCAATTCCGCCAACCGGCCACCGTAGTACAAACCCACGTGGTTAACCAAAACAGCATGGCGACTGGGTTCAAGTAAGATTGTCCAAACTTTTTATTTTTATTTACAAATGCAAACCTTTTATTTTAGCTTCTTTTTGCGTATGAAAGGATTTTAAAACAGCGGCACATTAAATGTGTTCGTCGTCTCATTCTTAGATAAATATAGAACACGAGGAGCTTTCTGTCAGTTTTTCATCGCCTCTCCACTTCATTTCATCAATATAGTTTAATGCATGTACAGAGCAGTGATGTCTTTGTTATGTTGTTTCCATCTTACTTACAGGATTGCGGAACCTCTGGAGTATCACAGAAGCTTTTTGGTTTGTGAAATGTTCCATGTTCAGCTCATGATTGTGATCGATCTTCTGAGTCAATAAATGTTTCCACAAATTTCATGTGAAAATTCAATCTGAAATTGTTTCCGATCCAGAAAGAAAACTGTCGACCTGATGGACGGGGGCTGTCTGAATTCAGAACCACGACACTGAACGTTGGTGAGGCGGGCTGCTGGTTCTGACCCACTTTTACTCATCTCTAAGTGAATATTTTGGGAGTACATTCTATACTTCCTTTTTGTTTCAGGATCCATATCCACAGCAGATGGTTCGGCATTGGTGAAGATAGGAAACACAACGATTATCTGCGGAATCAAAGCGGTACATACACAGCACTTCCGAATTTTACAATTTTTGTAAATCTTTGATAAAAATAAAGATTTACGAGATTCAACATGACCATGCCTCTGGTGACATCACAACAGACACAGGCCACATGATATTTCAAGTACAGGCATTTATGTTTTCTGCTATTCTGTTTGGCTCAGCTAAAAGTCTGAGCTAAAAATGAGAACACAACATGACTTTCAGAAAAAAAAATGACAACAATGAAACACTTGATGTTTGTTGTGAAGAGGGTGAGGGCCTGGTTAGAGTCTTGTGCCTAAAATTATTGCTGGTCATACTGACCTAGAACGAGTCCAACCCTTCCATTTTCTTCTCCCCCATGTTTAGTGTAAAGCTTATGCCTTCAAACTTATTTTTAATGACAATAAGAATAAATAAATCAATAAAAAAAAAACTGAAAATTGTCATTTAATCTATAGTCTGAGTTCAGACTGATTTACTTAATTCACAGACTTTACAAGTAAAACAAATAATTTACTCATTTTATGAGTTGGTAGTTTGAACAAAAACAAGTTGGATAGAACAATTCAAACAGTAAAACAATGCGTCAGTTAAAATGCTAAAAATAAATATTTGCATTGCTAATCCATGACAGTCTCTTTCACCACTCATTGAAGCCAAACCCTTAATTCGATGCTTACCGTTGAACCCACTTGCAACTCGAATCTTTCTGAATCTATATTAAGATTTGTCAAATTTTTTTATCCACCATAGTGTTCACTAATGCCGGCTGAAAGGCCGCTGTCATCAACTAAAACACACACAAAGAATGAGGTTTTTACCTCAGTGTGCTTTTAACAACGTATTTTCAGACTATCTGCAGTGGAAATACATTCTTCACTATGCAGTCGTGTTTTTATTACCACAGAGTACATTTTTGGTGAAGAAATTGACCATAATTTAAATAAAGTTTAAAAATCAAGTCCGACCATCTTTGGTTCTAAATTCTCCATTAGTTTCTCATTAAAACATCTCGCAACTTGTTTTTGTGCAGGAGCTGGCTAACCCTACAGCAGAGGCCCCTGGTAAAGGTTACATTGGCAAGTATCACATACTCTCATGTAGAAAATCCCTTTGTATCACTACTAACAAGGTTTTTAACGACCCTTGCATGCTCCTGTATGTTCACAGTGCCCAACGTGGATTTGCCTCCTCTGTGTTCGTCCCGCTTTCGGCCGGGTCCACCAGGAGAACAGGCCCAGGCTGCCAGCCAGTTTATTGCTGACGTTATTGAAAGGTGTGACTGACATTTTACAACTGTGTGTGTGTTTTTCACTAATCGGTGATGTGTGTGCGCCGCAGCTCTGAGGTGATCAAAGCAGAGGACCTATGCGTCGACAGAGGAAAGGTAGCTTGAGAATTATGAGCACACTTGTGCTAATTGTTTTATGTGATCAATCATTAATAATGATTTTTTTGTTGTTGTTGCAGCTTTGTTGGGTCCTCTACTGTGACATTATGTGTCTCGACTACGATGGGAACATTCTGGACGCTTGTATTATCGCCCTGCTGGCTGCCCTGAAGAACAGTATGTGATTCTATGTCGACTTCACTGGAGGGAACTAAAATAAAGGAAGAACGCTTGAGACGCACTAATCAGTTGGACAGGGATCGTAATCAGCTGGTTTTCCATTGATCAGAACTAAAAACTTTCTATTTTGGTTCATAAACGCGTCAACCAATCATAATTGACCTATCAGAGAAACAGTTAGTATCAGCAAGGCACAGCATAATTCATCCATCCCTTTAAAAAATAATTTATTTAATCTATCTGTCACATCATCTATAAAACTAACATTATACATGCCTGTCATACAGAGCTGCTGACTTTTTTTTTCCAAATGATTTTATGCAGTGAATTATCTGAGCCTTTGACTAGACCTGTCCTGCTCTCGTTACAGCACAGCTCCCAGAAGTCACCGTGAACAAAGAGACATGTTCACCAGAGGTGAATCTGGAAAAGCGACAAAGGCTTCATATTCACAAACATCCCGCCAGTGCTTCTTTTTGCGTCTTTGATGAGTAAGCTTGTCTAATAAAAAATACTTTTTTTTTGTCCACAATATACATCGATTGTAATCCCATATGAGAAGAATAACCAATATACATGATGGCCTAAAGAGAAAACACCAGTTTGGTGGTATGCATGTAAAAAAATAAAATTAATAACATAATCAAATTGATACTAATTAAAGTAGGAAATATATTTTGCTGGTCCTAAACTATTCTAACATATTGAATACTATAGTTCTCTTGTTTTGAAAAACTATTTTGATACTTTAATGAGAATTGAGTTGTACTTCCCAGGTCCTTGTGCAAAATATACCGTTTCCCATTCTGCTCTTGATAAAGTAACACAAGTATGACAAGCTAACATTGCTATACCCAGCTAATACATACTAATTAGTGGTGGTATATGTTTCCGTTCTACCGTAGCAGCAGTTTTAAAATAGCTTTACCCTCATGGGGCGACAAAAACTTTTTCTTTGATATCTTATTTACAATATTTCAAACTGCAGGAATGCGAGGATAGTAATTTGTGATTTCAAAAATGTTTTTTTTTTTTTCCTAAATATGTGATCTTTGATTCTGTTACATCCCATGTCTATTTTGCACCTCCTGGCTCCCTCTGCTCAGCTCTATCCTGATTGTTGACCCCACAGCTGAGGAGGAGAGTCTGTCAACCGCTCACCTGACTGTGGTCACAGATGAGGGGGGTCGTCTCTGTTCTGTACATAAACCAGGTGAGCTGCAGCCTGCAGGGACTCTTTAAAATACTTAAAACATGCAGGAATGGGAATATAAATGCTGCTTAGTTCAAAACTGTTATGACTGTTTTTTTGTTGTTTTTTTTTCCAAAAATGAAGTATAATTGTTGCTCACCTAAAATTTTACATCTGAACTCAATATTTGACTGATCCAGAATGGAATAAAAAAAAAAAAAAAGCTTGGAAAAATTTGTGTTTTCAGTATTTAAGCCCCATTCCATTCTCTTAATTTTGGTGTCATCCAATCCTTTTTTACTTCTCCTTTTCTATCCTTCCTTTCCTTGTTCCTTTCACCTTTACTGTATCCAACCTTCTTTCTTTACCTCTGCTCGTTCTACCGCTCTCCATATTTTGTGTCCTTTTGCCCTCCTCTCTTGCTTCCTTCTTTTCTTCTCATTCGTTCTGTTCTGTTCTATTCTTGCTTTCTTATTTCCTACTTCCTGTTGTAGATTACATGTTTGGAAGCCTTCCTGGTGTAAAAATATTTATCATCAACTTATCGTGATTCTTCTATATTTTAAAGCAAATTCAAAAGAGTAGGAACGCTAGAAAACAGTCTGGAATTTTTACATAAAAAATATGCATCTTAAAGTTTTAAAAAGATGAAAGGACATATAAAAAAGCTAATCAACACCTTTTGTGGCTCAGGTGGAACGTCACTGTCGGGACAGAAGCTGCAGGAATGCATCAACCGAGCAACAGCCCGGCAGAGAGAGATCCACAAACTCATCGACAAGGTTCTAGACAGCGTGAAGACGATGAAATAAAAACAGTCAAGACAACGTTTTATATCTAAAAGCTGTATTTTCCACTGTCAATATATATTCTTTTTTTTAATAACAATAAAACTGATGACAAAGACTGCTTAAAAAATTATTTCTCAGTGTTCAGAAATGCCTCGCGCACGCTCAGCTGATGTCATGTAAAGAATATGCTCATGGCTCCTGGACTTATTAAAAGGTGACACCTTTTTCAAAATATGCTGTACAAAAAGTACACCTTGTCTTGCATGTTGATCTTGAGTCCTGTTTGCCGGAACCGCTAACAGAAGAAACACTTCCAACAGACTGAGAGGTAGACAGCTGCCCCCAGGCAATACTCCCAAGATCAGGTTTGCATTTTCACAAAGTCGTCATGGTTA